CCATGTTAAAACCAGAATTGCATAATCTTTGTCTAGCATGAACTGGAAGCAGAAATGAATGTCATGAAATTAATGTTACTTAAAAGAAACCCTCTGAGACATAATTATAATTTCATGATGGAAAAGCGGGTGTAGCATGCTAGCAGACAGCCACTGTTTACATGGAAATTGCAGGACTTCAGGTCATTAAATGAATGGCAAGACACAAAGACAACTTTATTTCCAAAACAACAGAACGCTTGTGTTTGTAAATAAATCTGACCATGTTTTCCTGTGGTCACAATGAGGAAAGCCTTATGTTTTTTAGCTTGTTATATGGTTTAACCCCTTAATGACGAGTGACGGACAAGGTCCGTCACTCAGGGGAAACCCTTAACGACGAGTAACGGACCTTGTCCGTCACTCGGTAAAATTAACCCAGATCGCCGTGATCACAGGGTTAATGGTGCTCCGGTCTGCCTCTGTATTAGAGACAGACTGGGAGCACTTAATCTCGCTGACCCAGCACCGGTGCTCGCTCTGACAGCCTGTCAGAGCGAGCACATGTGCTTAGTATACTCAAATTCCGCCTCACTGCACTTCCGGGTTCACTGTGAAGTGCAGGGAGACGGATCATCACTGATCTTGTCCCTGTTAGAAAAAAAAAATAATGTTAATTCAAAATCCCACCCTCCTTTATCCATTTTAATAAATAATTAACCCCTTCCCTGCCAATTGATCACTGGCCACAGTGATCAATTGGCAGGGATTACATTTTACTATGATCTGATTTTTTTTTAACCCCTGACGGTTAATTCTTTTTTTAACCCTCAGGGGTTAAATTTATTTTATTAATTAATTTAAGTATTTTAAAATTATAAATTTAGCTTGCTGGGGTGGGTGGAAGTTATTGGGGAATTTGAGGATTTGGTGTTAGGCTAACTAGGGATTAACGTTAAAAAAAGTTTTAAAATAAGCTTTAAAAAGTTCAAAATTAAGTTAAAAAAAGTTTTAATAACGTTTAAGTAAAAAATAAAAAAACACCCCCCTTTAGCCAGTCCAAATAAAAATTAACCCCTTCCCTGCCAGTCGATCACTGCCTACAGTGATCAAAATACAGATCACAGTATTATACTGTGATCTAATTTTTTTTAACCCCTGACGATTAACTTTTATTTATTTTTTAGCCCTCAGGGGTTAAATTTATTTAATTAACTAATTTAATTATTTTATAATTATATATTTTATAATTATATATTTTGCCAACTGGGGTGGGAGTTATGGGAAAATGGGGAATTTACTGTTAGTTCTGCTTACTGCTATTTAGGGGTTAACGGTAAGAAAAAAAGCTTAGAAAAATGTTAAATTTTAGGAAAGTTTAAAAAATTAATAAGCAAAACAAAAGTTTAAAAACTAGTTTTAAAAAGTAAAAAAAGTAAAAAAAATACATTTAAAAACGCTCATTACCACTGCACCTGGAACAAACTGGAGAAAAAATGATCCCACGCCAAGGTTCAAAATATGCCTTTTGAATTACCCCAGGGTGTATTCTTTAATAAATAGTATGTGTTTGTGGGGAAGTTTCAATAACCAACCATCTAAACTACTCCAAATTGGAACATGGACACAGCGTAAAACTTCAAAGTTAGAAAAAAACTGAATGGCTGCGTTCAACATCCACATATACCTGGCAAAGGTACATACGGGGGTATTGCTGTACTCAGACTACATAGCTGAGCAACATATGAAGTAATATACAGTGGTAGCACACATAATGCTTGCAAAATATACTGTGCAAACTCACTTTGTGTGTCAAAAAGGCAGAAAAAACGCTTATTACCACTACACCTGGTACAAGCTAGCGGAAAAATGATCCCACGCTAAGGTTCAAAATATACCTTTTGAAATACCCTGGGGTGTCAACTTTAAGAAATGGTAGGCCATTGTGGGGTAGTTTGAATTTAAAACCTGCGAAGATGCTTGGAAATTGCACATAGGCCCAGCATCAAAATTCAAAGTTCGGTAAAAACTGATATGGCTTGGTCTCCTATATGGCACTGTAGCTTCACGAAATAGTGCCAAAGACATTCATTGGGCGTGTCTTTTTACTCAGAAGACTTAGCTGAGCATAATTTGGGGGGTTTGAACTTAGTGGCACATATGAAATATACAAAATGCCCAGCAAAAATGCAATCCAAATGTAAAAAATGCACAAAATTATTTTTTACCACATACTTTGGCATATATTGGTGAAACATGAAATGGGGGCATGTTAAGGCACAATATGCACCTTATGAGATACCCTGGAGTGTTTACTTTTACAAATGGTAGGCCTTTGTGGTTTTTATTTGAACAGTCAAACTACAAAAATACCCCAAATGGAAGCATAGGCTCATTAAATCTGTCTCTCAAAACTCTACTGTGAATACTGAAAAGAACAGGTATCCTATATGGCACTGTAACTTCACGAAATAGTGCCAAAGACATAAAATGGGGGTGTCATTTTACTCAGCAGATGTAACTGAACACAAAATAAAACTTTGTACAGGAACAGCACACACTAACGTTACAAAATACACATGAGAATTTCTTTGTTATAAGTTTGTGTGCCAAAAAACAAAAAAACAAAATTTTACTCCAATATTTAGCAGAGGTTGGCGGTGAAATGGCTACGTAGAAAGTGTCAAAACAACCTTAGGTAAATAGCCTGTGATGTCTACTTTATATAACTATATAATTTTGTGGCAATTTTGTTTTCTTTTATGGCTATTAAGCTTACAAGACAAACATACCAAATTCTAAAATCGCTCCACATTAAAAGTTTATTTTACTCCTTGTGCTTTGTGACCTGTAACTACCAAAAAAAACTTAAAATCCCAGACACATTATATATTCTGTAAATCAGAACAACTAAATGAATTTATTTGTAATTACTTTCTTTAACCTGCACTAATTAGGCACACATTATTATTGCAAAAACTGTACAAAAAGCACAATTTTTTTCTTTTTTTTTTGCCTTTTTCTGTATTTTTTTAATAATAAATAAGCATATATATATATATATATATATATATATATATATATATATATATATATATATATACACACATTATATATATATATATATATATATAATTGTTACATCAAATTAAAGCCATTTCTGTCCTTTAAAAAACGGTATATAATATGTGTCGGTGCAATAAATTAGTGAAATGCAAATTGCAGTTGAACGTAAACAGCAAAAAATGCAAAAAATGCTGTTGTCATTAAGTGAAAGACAAGCTTCTGAAGCTCTCTCCTTAAGGGGTTAAAATAATACTACATGTTCATGGGCATCCGCAGGGTGGGGGTAAGGGGGAGCATTTGTGCCGGTATTTTTATTTTCAGATTAGAATACACTGCAATACCGGCGTCGACCAGTAGGTGGCCCAGTGTATGGAGAAAGGCAGGGATAGGAAGCTACATCTTATCCCTGCTTCTCTCTCCTGACTGAATCCGCAGGGGAGCAGCACATGCAGCCAGCAACTTGCAGACTACAGATCAGGTAAGTGAGAAATGGAGGTGGGGGGAGGGAGAGAGACAACCTATAAATCAGGTAAGTGAGGGATGGGGAGGGAGAGACCCTATAGATCAGGTAAGTAAGGGATGGGGGAGACAGCCTACAGGAAAGGTCAGCAAGGAGCAGGAAGGTAAAGTAAGAGAGGAAGCAGAAAGGAGAAGTAACAGAAATGAGCAGGAAGGGACATCAAGGAGCAAAACGGGGCAGCAAGGAGATGGAAGGGGCAGCAAGGTAAAGTAGGAGAAGGAGCACAAAGGAACAGGAATGAGCAGCAAGGAGCAGAAAGGGTCAGCAAGGTGCAGAAAGGGGCAGCAAGGAGCAGGAAGGGACAGAAGGATCAAAAAGCTAAAGTAGGATAACTTGCAGAAATGAGCAGGAAGAGTCAGCAAGGAGCAGGAAGGGTCAGCTAGAAGCAGGAATGGGCAGCAAGGAGGAGGAAGGGTCTGCAAGGAGCAGAAAGGGTCAGCAAGGAACAGGAAGGGTCAGCAAGGAACAGGAAGGGTCAGCAAGGAGCAGGAATGTCTGCAAGGAGCAGGAAGGGGTAGCAAGGAGCAGGAGGGACAGAATGAGCACAAAGGTAAAGTAGGATAAGGTGCAGAAATGAGCAAGAAGAGTCAGCAAAGAGCAGGAAGGGTCAGCTAGAAGCAGGAACGGGCAGCAAGAAGGAGGAAGGGTCTGCAAGGAGCAGCAATGGACAGCAAGGAGCAGGAAGGGACAGAAGGAGCACAAAGTTAAAGGAGCAGAAAGAATCGTAAGGAGCGCAAAGGTAAAGTAGGAGAAGCAGCAGAAAAGGGTAGCAAGGAGCTGGAAGGGGCAGAAGGAGAGCAAAGGTAAAGTAGGAGAAGGAGCAGAAAGGGACAGCAAGGATCAGAAAGGGGCAGTAAGGAGCACAAAGGTAAAGTAGGAGAAGGAGCAGAAAGGGTCTGCAATGAGCAGAAAGGGATCAGAAAGAGAAAGGAGCAGAAGGGCGCAAAAGAAGCAGAAAGTAGCAGAAAGGTAAAGGAGCAGAAGGAGCCAATTGAGGAGAGAAAACCGTGTCAGAAGAAAAAGAAGACTGTCAAATGAACGATAAGAAAAGGAGATTGGAGCAGGAAGGACAAGTGAAGTGAACCCTCCACTTTATTCTGGACACCACATCATAAGGCTTTGGTACCAGGTCCTGACAGGGAAACTTTGGACCTTCTCATCTCCCCATGTAAATATTTACTGATTTATTTACTGAGTGTCAGGAAGCACAGAGTGCTGCTGGGTAGGGGTGCCGCTGTATGGCTAGAGCGGTCAGCTGGCACTCTAAGCCAATCAGTAGCTCCCCATTCATAAAAAAAGTAAAACATTTTTATAAACCGGGAACTAGCGATTGGCTTAGAGCATCAACTGACTACTAGTGATGTCCCGAATGGTTCACGAACGGTTCGCCACGGACTCATCATTGAGTAAACTTTGACCCTGTACCTCACAGTCAGCAGACACATTCCAGCCAATCAGCAGCAGACCCTCCCTCCCAGACCCTCCCACCTCCTGGACAGCATCCATTTTACATTCATTGTGAAGCTGCATTCTTAGTGAGCTGTCCAGGAGGTGGGAGGGTCTGGGAGGGAGTGTCTGCTGCTGATTGGCTGGAATGTTTCTGCTGACTGTGAGGTACACGGTCAAAGTTTACTCAATGATGAGTCCGCGGGGAACCGTTTGTGGCGAACCATTCGGCGAACCGTTCGGGACATCACTACTGACTACTCTAGTCAATCAGCGGCACCCATGCCTGACGTCAATCTGCACTTCCTCACACTTCGTTTCAGAAGCCGAAGACCACTGAGCGACCTGGAGATCTGGAGGTGGAGGAAGCCTTTGGGGTTAAACCATTCGAGAGCGGTTTAACCCCTTAAAGGAAAGAGAGCACCCAGGGGCTCCCTGGCATCATAGCATTTCCATTTAGAGGAAGTTGTTTTGGTGACCAGAATGTTCCTTTAATTTGCTTAAGTGTCAGGAATACAAACATGTATTCTTGACACTATAGTTGTGAAAAGTTATTCAACCTGGCTTTATGTGGTAATGACTATGCCCCTTCCCTTTCATGACACTGTCAAAAAGGGACCAAGCATGGATGTCATTACAATTATGCCCCCCACCCCTCCATCCCCCCGGAAAAATTCCTGCGGACGCCCATGTACATGTTGTCATATTTTCTTTTAACACATGAAAAGCCAGACAATAGTATCGTGGTTCTTGTGCCCCTTGATGTGTGTGTGTATATATATATATATATATATATATATAATATATAGCGAGGGCTTGCACTCCTGGTGTAATCCTGTGGTGCCCGGTGCTGGTCTGGCAAGAATCATGTAGACATAGCAGAAATGACCGCACTCCAAGGTATTAAATGGATTGAATAAAAGTAAAATTTTATTTGAAGATCTCTATAAAGTCCTTGGAGTGCGGTCATTTCTGCTATGTATATATATAAGCACTGTTTAATATCTATATGTTCCAATCTCCCTATACCTCTGCGGAGGCTCAGGACTCCTGGCCTGTTCCAGCCCATGCAGTGGTCCATGAGTTCTCAAGGCTTCTGCCCAGTTTGGAACAAAAATGAGCTACACACATATATATATATAATGTGTGTAGCTCATTTTTGTTCCAAACTGGGCACAAGCCTTGAGAACTCATGGACCACTGCATGGGCTGGAACAGGCCAGGAGTCCTGAGCCTCCGCAGAGGTATAGGGAGATTGGAACATATAGATATTAAACAGTGCTTCCACCCAGTGATCAACATAAACTAGCACTGGGACAAGGAAGAATCATGCAGGGAGTTCATGAAGACTATGTGAGTCACTGTCAGTGGAGGTGTGGCTATGCCTGCATGAACAGAAACAAAAGTGATTTAACTCCTGAATGGTGGAGAATTGTGCCGTGAGACCTCACTGCATGATCAATACACCAACACTGCTTTATTAAGCGAAGGTTGTTTTGATGACTATAGTGTCCCTTTAATGTAGTGGTTCTAGTGTCTGTAGCCTGCCCCTGCAGCCTTTTCAATGTAAGCACTGCCTTTTCAGATAAAAAGCGGTGTTTACATTGCTGCTTGGTTACACCCCAAGTGGCAGTCATTCAAACGGCAACTAAAGTACATCTTATCTCAGTGCTGCACAGTGTGCAACACCTACATTCAACGTCTCCACCTAATGCATGGACACGTTCTAAATAGAGATGCAGTGATTCAATGAGAAGATGCTGTTTGATGCTGTACTTTGCCAAACATTCATAATGGCCTCCTAGTGGGGGCCAGCTGCATCAAGACTGGGACGGAGTAGGAGAAAAGTGAGTAAAAATACAATTCCCATGAGATCAGAGGGGGTACAGTTACCTAAACACACACACTCCCTGACAGAGAGACACACGCTGACAGACACACAGACACTGACATATACACACACACACTCACTGACAGATTATTGATTCACAGTGAATCAATAAACCAAAGTATTTGGATTGGTTCCCAGAGGGAACATTTGCTTTATTGGTTCATATTCATGTACAGGGTCAGGCCCTTAATTTGGAGGATATATTTAGGACCTTACTCTGTTAGGCATGTGCATGGGGAAAATTTTCGGTTCGGCATTCCGAAATTTGGGACTTCCGCAATTCGACACTTCGGAACTTAGGCAACTTCGGAATTTCGAGAATTCGGGACTTCTCTTGCAGCCGCCTAGTAGATAACTCCCTAATTCCCACGGTATTACGGAGTTATCTACCAAAACGCTGAAAGATCTAAATTGGTCTTTCAGCCAAATTTGCTAATACTAATTAAAAATTACTTAGTATTAGTAAATTTTGCCCCTACTCGCAATACCGCGAATAGGGGCATGTCTATTGAACAGTGAGCATCCTACAGCCTATGGCTGCTCACTGTAAAAAAAAAAAAAAGGTCCCCCTCCTGAGCCCCCAACCGCGACGAGTGAGTGGGGGCTTTTAAACTATTGCCCCCCCCGACCCCAACCCCTGATCGGCGGGAGGGCCCTAAATACTAATAAGGGGGGGGACCTAATGTCCTCCCCCTTGCCCCCACCCCTGAGCGGCGGGTGGAGGTCCTAAATACCAATAGGGGGGGACCTATTGTCCAGCCCCCACCACTGAGCGGCGGGTGGGGGCCCTAAATAAAAATGTTACCCCCCCAGGTGACTAGGGGACCCCAAACCTCTAGTCGCCCCCCAAAAAAAATTAACCCCTACCTACCCCCCTCACCCTAAAAATAATGAGGGGGGGACCTTTAACTAAGTACCTGTAAAAAAATAATAAAACTTACCATTTGATGTCTTCTTTCTTCTAAAAACTTTTTTTTCAACCCCAAAAAGGTCAAATAAACAATCCATAATAACCGACGCACTAAAAAAAAATAAAAAAAAAATAAATCCATCTTCACCCATGGAGGGCTCCGGGCAGACTGAGCTATGCAGGGTGGGGGAAGGGTTATAAAGACTTGCCCCTACCTGCAATTAGGCTCAGTGCACTCTGATTGGTGGGTTTAAGCCATCCAATCAGAGTGCTCTGATAGGTAAATGAAGAGACTGACAGGTAAGTCTCTACATTTACCTGTCACAGCACTTTGATTGGTTGGCTTGAAATCCACCATTCAGAGTGCTCTGTGTCATTTTACACAGCGTGGGAAAGTTCTTTGGAATTTTCCCACGCTGTGTAATTTGACTCATAACACTTTGATTAATTTATAAGCCTTCCCCCGCCCTGCAGAGCTCAGTCTGCGCGGAGCCCTCCATTTTTTTTAATTTTTTTTTAAGTGCGTCGGTTATTATGGATTTTTTATTTGGCCTTTTTTGGGGCTGAAAAAAGAAGATTTTAGAAGAAAGATAACATCAAGTGGTAAGTTTTATTTTTTTTTACAGGTACTTAGTTAATGGGTGAGGGGGGTAGGTAGGGGTTAGTTATTTTTTGTGAGGGGGGTGACTAGAGGTTTGGGGACCCCTAGTCACCTGGGGGAGAAACATTTTTATTTAGGGCCCCCATCCGCCACTCAGGGGTGGGGGCCAGGGGGAGGACAATAGGCCCCCCTTATTTTTATTTAGGGCCCCCATCCGCCGCACAGGGGTGGGGGCCAGGGGGGAGGACAATAGGTCCCCCCCCCTTATTAGTGTTTAGGGCCCCCACACACCAGTCAGGGGTGTGGTCCAGGGGGAGGACATTAGGTACCCCCTTAATAGTATTTAGGGCCCCCAACCACCGCTCAGGGATGGGGGCCAGGGGGGAGATCATTAGGTCCCCCCCCTTATTAGTATTTAGGGCCCCCACCCACCGCTCAGGGGTGGGGGCCAGGGGGGAGGACATTAGGGCCCCCACCCGCCATTCAGCAGAGGGGGCCGGGGGGAGACAATATGTCCCCCCTTCAGGTTAGAAGCCCCCACTCGTGTGGCACGTGTGGGGGCTAGGGAGGGGGGAACCTTTTTTTTTTTTTTTAAAGTGAGCAGCCATAGGCTGCTCAATGTTTAATAGTCATGCCCCTACTCGCAGTATAGCGAGTAGGGGCATAATTTACTAATACTAAGTAATCTTTTAGTAGATAGCTCTCTAATACTATGGGAATTAGGGAGTTATCTACTTATTCATTACTGTCATTACATTGACTGGCTAAGTAACTTACATTTTATATGAATGTATGTTACTTGATTGTTGTAAGTGTTGCAAATGCTTACAGCTGAATCCTGTCTTTGTATACTTTTTATTTAAAAATTTATACAGTGTAACATTCTTCTTCTTCCACTGGGTAAGTATATTAGTTCTTAGGCAATACTGTACTTCGGCACTTCGACACTTCGGAACTTCGGCACTTCAGAAATGTGTTAATTTCAGAACTTCGGGACTTCGACAATTCATCTATTCGGACATTCGGAAGTACCAGAATGTCCGAATTGCCCGAAATTCGTCCGAATGTCTACTCTATATAATGTTTTTAGGTTTCACAGTGTCATAGGAAGTTAGTGAACAGGGACAGGAAGTAGAAAAGTAGGAACTGGCCTTAGCACAATTTTCTTCTGGTTTTTGGTTTCTTTTTGAACAGCGGCACTTTGTGTCTGTCTATCTATCTATTAATTGATCTCATGGGTTACTTACATTTGAAGGTGGTAGCACAGTTAATAATACAGTGTATTCCATACCCATAATACGTGCTTAGTGCAAATTTTGAGGTCTTCTATGGATGACTTTGTTCGTATTGAGGATTCACTGCATTTTCTAGATGTTCTGGAAGTACAGTTAATTCCACAAAGCCTTCTTAACCGGATTTAAAAGAGGGATTTGACAAATTGGCTTCTCTCAGAGTCTTACCGCTTTAATTCCTACAACTCCCATAACGCCATGCAATGTAAAATGTGTCCAAGTATGTTTTTTTAAAAGGACTGTGTTGTAACTCTTGCAGAAAAGCCAGTGTCACCCACTTTCATTATTGGAGTGGATTACATCTGTAACTTTGTGAATCTCACCTAATTACATTTGCCTTTTTTTCCACTCTCTAATATAACCGGATATACACGTCAGGCTTACTATTAAAGGAGGACAAATGTTCAGAATCACTTCCTAGCTTGTGCTCCTCTGTTTATCCAGGGGTAAAACTATAAATTCTT